GAATAATACATTTCCCAACATCAACCTTGCCAGCAATGCAGGAAGACACTTGGGGTACCGTCATCGGTAGTGCGGTGGGTGGGGCCCTCTTCCTCATACTTGTCAGTGTTCTGGTTGGAATTATCTGCTATAGGAGAAGACGGACGTTCCGTGGTGACTACTTTGCTAAGAACTACATTCCACCATCAGATATGCAGAAAGAGTCTCAAATAGATGTTCTTCAGTCAGATGATGTGGATTCTTACCCTGACAGTATAAAAAAGGAAATAAAGCATCCAATGAACAGCTTAATATCTAAAGATTATTTAGAAGACCCTGAAAAACCAGAGTGGAACAATCTAGACAATATTAACAGGTACCAGGAACGTTATGAAAGACCAATGGATTACTATGAAGGTGGAACATTGGGAATGAAATACATGGGTGGTGAATGTTATGATGACAATGAAGAAGACTTTGTTTCTCACATAGATGGTTCGGTAATATCCCGGAGGGAGTGGTATGTGTAGTAACCACTGAAAGCTAAACTTGTATCTACAATTCATTTCATTGGCTGATCACTTTCAGATTGTTTATACTTAAGCATAAGGAGGAATAAACTTTTTGAAACTGATTTTTTTGAAGGTTTTTATATTGTGACTTGACATGCAAATATTCAATCTCGGGAAAATGTATTTGAGCTGCTTATTTTCCCAATGCTGTACTACTGTTTAAGATTTTTTTAAATGCAGAGTGCTTATATCGGTTTATGTCACAGGTTAAAGAAAAGATAAATTAAACTTACCACTCACAATTGTTTAAGAATAAAAAGTGACTGTCTTGGGTCTGTGATTGGAAAAAAAAAAAGTTTACATAAGGTAGTGATATAGTATTTTGGGACAGTTGCTTTGCAGATCTAGTAAATCAAATAGCCACATCTAGATACCATCTATGGTAAACCTAATGCTTCTACATAGCAAATGCTGTACCAGTTCAAATGAGTTAGAGGGGAGTCAAAGCTTTATTTTCAGTTCTCCTGCACAAAAATGAATACCTCTTAGCATTTTAATGAGCCTTCTTTTAACTATGTATTTAAAAAGTCATTGCACTGAAAGTAACTTATCTATGAGGAAGATTTTGAGGAGTAAGTATAAACCGGTAAAAGGCTTGTCTTTAAATAAGAAATTATTTTTTTAGTTATTGATTTCCAAAAGGTTGTGTGTACATAAACAGTACGGTATTTTGTTAGGCCTGTACTTGGCAGGATGTCAACTCATTAGTAAACTTCAGGCTCCTTTTTGCAAGTACAGTACAATTTAAGACCACTTTCTGAGGTGTTATAGGGATCACAACATTGAATTTGAAAGCTGGAGAACTAGACATAACTAGGAAGAAAACGCCAATGAATTTTGAAGCTGAAGGCAAAAGCCAACTTAAACGTTTACCAGAATGCCATTAAACATGAAGTGTGCTAAGAGGTGTCAAAACACTTGCTTGAGTTTCTACGACCAGAAGTCAAAACAGATGTTCTACCCTACTTCTGCATAAGTTATATGGTTGCTCTGAGGAGGGTAACGAGAATTTGAGATTAATAGGGAAGTGGATGTGTACATTGCTACTTCATGTGCTGAAAGCCTACTATGCAATGATGCAACTACAGAATGTAAGAAACAGCAGTTTCAGTAAACTTCACAGTCTCTGTACAGCAGTGGATTTGTTTTGCCTGCAAATAATTCTGTGTTTTATCAATGTGGTTGTTCTTTAAAAATACATCATATGTAGGACATATCATTTGACATCCAAAGTAGTTCTATTTCGTCTTGAGTAGTTGCACCAAACTAAGTCTGACTACAAAGACAAATTGGGCTGAAATACGATAAGATGAATTGTACAGAAATGATAAACTCAAATTTCAAAAGAATGGTGTTCAAGTGCCATCTTCAAATGCTTAGCATGAAGAAAAGAAATGGATCGGCCTATAAAGATTTGGAACCTGAGAAGGGCAAAACCTTTACTACATTCACAATGAAATGGGCTGTGTATTTATGACTGCTTCATCAGTGGAATTTCTTGCTGGAGTTCCTTCTATCCTCATCATTTTCAATAGCTTACAGCATTTAGAGCTTGACAAAAGTAGTTGTATTAAGTGTTGTAGACAATACACTGTGATTGCATATGACTGCATGTCTTTAAAAAAGATGAAAACAACAGCCTTATTTGAAATTCAAATGGAAAATAACTTCCCTAAAGAACTTAAGTTCACATTTAGATTAATTGGTTACTGATACATTACTAACCAAAGTCTCAAACTTTTAAGTAAATGACAGTGTATCAGTAGCTTGAGAGCAAAATTTGAGGAAAAGAGTGAAGTTTCTAGCTGAAAGTTCTGATCCAAATTCTTTCTGGAATAAAGATATTATACCTCTCTTCAAATAAAAATACTTGATGTATCATCTTTAAAAGATGGTTTTACTTAGAAACAAACAACCATAAACCTGTTATCCACATGGGATATCTTGCTTGTCTCTGTGGAGTTAGTTTTTGTTTTTTTAAGAAATACATACATATATATATATATTTAATTCCAATGGGTTAACAAGTTGAAATGTTTGAGTTGAAGTTGATAATAGATATAGGGCTTACAAGTGTTGCAATGTTTTGTACATGGTCATGTCTGCTGTAAAAAGAAATGATTGTAACTACAAATGGCTCTTGTGTGAATAAAATTTTTGTTACGTTCTCAAATGTAGGCAGTGTTAAAAACTAAAGTTTGACAGACTTTGTTAAAAGTGAAGGTAAACAAGCATAAGAAAATGGCTAGAAGGAGCTGCCATAATGAAGCTGTTAAAATGGGCTTCTGAACGTCTCTTCCTGAAGATCCTTATCTTATGAGTTGCTTCAGAAATGATTCAAGTCTGTGTACTTTAGAAGTCATGATCAGGGATAGTTGCTATCCAAACAAATGCAGTTTAAGCACAAAGGTTATGCTATCTAGAATACCAAATATTAAAAAATCCTTGTTCTCAGCTGCTGTAGTTTTGATTGAACCACATACATTTAGTGAATCAATTTTTATCTGTTTACAACCAATTGGTCATTAAATAGCTGTGTTGTGTGCTCCATACAGCTTAGGTACTTTTTAGCTTGTTAAATGTGGCATACTGGTCTGTGTTTCTGCTTGTTCTTCCGGTTAGAGTGAAAAATCTGTGTACCTGCTTCATTGCTAGAGCAATTCCAAAAGTAATTTAAGTGAGCAATCTGATAATTGCACTTTAGTTCCTGTAAACAGGCAGGTATCTCTGCTGACAAATACAACTGAAAGACAAAAGCAGGATCTTTAAGGCACCTTTATGAATTCTGGACCTAGTGCTGTGTATTAGTAACCAGCAGCTTTCTTACCTAAGCAAGATGGAACCCAATATAAATTAACCCTAAGCCAATTAAAATGCAGTAGTTAATTGCCCTGCTAATTATTTGACATGCCTATTCCTCATGAGAAGAGTGGAATTATGGTTTATCTGTGTACAGGCTGGTATCTTATGGGCAAGTTAACAAATTGAGCTCATATCAGGAAAGATGTATGATAAAAACACCATTTTAGGTGACAACTATTTTATGTTACGCTGACCTTCTGGAACAAGTCCGTTAAAACTAAGGGATAAAGTCATCAATTAATAGAGCTACTTAAAAAAAAAAAAAAAAAGCTGTTCAATACAGATTTTTCCTGCTACTTGAACATCAAGGGAGTGTTGCTACAGAGTCTTTCTTATATCAGAAGAGGATAGGAATCCCTTTTTCAGATTGGGAATGAAGTACTCTTTAAAAAGTGAGGGATGGAAAAAAAATTAGTCCAGCTTACAGGCAGAAAAAGGTATTTGAAGTAAGAGTAATTAATAAAACAGCTTGGTTAGTTGCTTTGTTTCTGGACACTTGAGTAGGATGTATAGCTGAAAGGCTCCTAAAATTTCTTGTGGTATGAGACTAAACGGAGGAGGGGTATACAGTGTTCAGAGAAACGGTATGATTTTTTCTGAGGGGACATAACTAAAGTATGCTGTGTTTAAAAATATGTTACAAGCATAGAGCTGTGTTAACTTCAAGCTCTGATGCTGTTAGTTTTCTGGCATAATAACGAGTATACACCACAACACTTTTGTTTGTTACCTGCATTAACAGTCTTAGTGAAGCTGATGTGAATTACTCCTGTTGTGCAACAGCAACATCTCGATAAGCCTGATGCAAGTTTGAAACAGACAAATACTGAATTAAAGTATGCTACTGGGTTTCATGCTTAGCCTTATAACAGATTTAAAACTTACAAGGTTCCTAGCATAGTGAAATAGGTGATCTTAGAAAGCTGACAAGTGTGTTAATCCAATATGGGAGTTGATAAATGTAGGATTTGACACCAGTAAGCTCAAATGAAAAATGCCTCTTTCACAGAACAGTTTTTCTTCTTTGTTAAAGTTTACTTCAAAATTAGTGTTTCTCACTAGCTTTAAGGGCTAGAGATGATAGGTAGTCTTAAGAGTTGCTTTATGCAAGCCATGTATTAGTACGTTTTGTGTGTTCATTGCTCCATATAGCATATCTTTCCTTGATCCATATTTTTCTTTTGTGCAGACTTAAGTGACTTTAAAGACAGATTGCCGGTAAAGCCATAGTTTTCTAGTTTTTTTGAATTAACACTCTGTTCTTTCATGTAAGTGCAAAGTATGTGTTTTGTAACTTCATCTTGTCTTAAAAACGAAAATTAGAGCATGCAGTTAAAATTCATTAAATGTAGCCAATGGAATCCAATGGAATGTTTGAATTGATATTAATGATTTATGAACTGTCTTAATTTAACCAATTTTTTAAATGGATGGCTGGAGCCAAGATAACGAGTGCTAGTGCAAGAAGAGGCTTTCTGTTGTTCGGTGATGGAAGAGACACATCTCAGAGCGACAGTGAAATAGCTTACTTGACTATAGAGAGTGCATAAACTTCATAAAGGTGTAATCTGTGCTATCACATTGCAGATGTGCCATTTAAGCAGACATCTTCTGTTGCTGTAGCAGGGGCTGTGATTGGAGCAGTCCTTGCTCTTTTTATCATTACCATCTTTGTGACAGTGCTGCTGACCCCAAGGAAAAAAAGGCCATCTTATCTTGACAAAGTGTAAGTATGCACTGCATTTCTTAAACTTGAAAGCAATTCACAGAAAATACTTGTTTTATTGGAATTCACATGACTGAATTGCCTTAACAGCTGTACAGCTGTCATAATTTCAGAGTTATATTTGCAAGGTATTCAAATGTGTTATCACTTGCCTTTCTGAAAAATAAATGAGGAAGCTAAGAGGGGGCTCAAAGGTGGTATATATTCTTAACATGTTGATATTAGCTTTATGCTTTTCGTTGTATTTGCTTGTAGTTGAAACAGGAGGATAGGGAGAGGACCATCTCAACTTTGTTACTACTAGTTTATCATAACCGTAGGTTTAATATGGAAGTAAACTAGCCATGCTTTGCAGAAGTAAAGGTCCAGTAGGATTTATCCTGCTGTGTGTGTGAAATGAAGCACTCTGATTTGTATGGTTAGAAACAAGTGACTTAATGTGCTTTCTGGCATGTTGGTTGGCTGTTCACATTTCTGATGCTGACATGCACTTGAGTTTTAAGCTTCTGATATGGTCAAACAGAAACAAGCAAACAGTCTAAACAGATTTTGTCAGTTAATGTAGCTGATGTCTAGACCCTGTTTGGAGCGTGCATACAGCATGCATAAAAAGTGACGGTGGCTTAGAATATTTGCAAATATAAGTCCCTTCATATACAAAAGTCCCTATATACAATTAACACTTAAACTGAATAAGAAATGAAAATGTCTGTCATCTCCCTGCATGCTTAATGAAGAGTTGGATAAAATAAAGTATTCAGCATAAAGTAACTTACAGGACTTGAATCTCTTGAGTTAGGAAAATAAGTCAGGTGTTTTTGTAGAACTAAGTAATTTCTAACATGAGTAGAAGTAATACTGTTTTCATGTTGGCTTCTCAAATTCAATAGCTGAAGCATATTTATATGAAAAGATTGAGACATTTGTATTCTATAGCCATTTGCTTTCACTGAGCTCATAACTGAAGTCTTGCATGTAATTCTTTGTAAGGCTTTTCAAAGAAAGCTTGTACTGGTAAAACATTGTTCAGGCTGTTTCATAACATATAAATGATGGTTACCTATTGCTTACAGTAGTCCCTATTCTACTTAGTTGGAGGGTAGGAGGGCAGTTCTCTCCTACAAAAAGTGCATGGTTGAGTTACTTCCAGTGATGGATAGGTTATTACCACGTTCCACAATTGGGTTATTGCTGACTGAAATGTGTGTTCATTAAAGTGAGCACTGGGTGACTTCGCAGCTGGAGAAACATATTATGACCCTTCAGTTGGACTTCATAAACATGGTATGTCATACTTTGTTCTATTTTAATATAGGATTGATCTTCCACCCACTCAAAAACCATCTTCTTGTGAGGAGAGAGCATTCTCTGTACCACAGAAAGAAGCTATGCTTCAGGTGAGTAAGGGGTTATATATAAGCAGAAGTAGAAGTGCTAACTATTGAATTACTTCAGTCTCATTTTGCCTTCCTGATAAAGTACCGAGGCTTTTGTTTTTTAACTCACAACCAAAAGGTTTCTCTGCCTATGTGATACCTGAATCTTATGTTCTTGGTGTTAATGGGATCCTTAAACTTAAAGGTTGGACAGCTAGTGGATAGATCTCTTTTGTATCTTTAATAGTGTTTGACAGTCAGCTGTTCTTAATGTTGAAGCTGTGTATGAAATTGTGGTGATTAAGAGAATATACATAGCTTCATAAGAGGCTTTTAATCTGGGGAACAGATATGGAACAGATATATTTGGTACACTTAACAAGAGACTTTAACGTAGTGATCTTTGCTGGTAACAATTGCCATTCTTTTAAGTTTTTGTGTTTGGACTGATTGGAATACATGGAAATTCTGGCTCTGTGGTTTACTTAGTATGCTTTTTTGATTCTTAGTGAGGGTTGCTAAATAATTGTCTGCAATTATCTAGATTCTAACTTTTTAAATATATTTTTTATATAGTATACCTTCATCAGCACCAAAAGATTCTATACTAGCTCTGTGACAATTACTTGATTTTTTAGTGCATTTGCATGGGTAGCTTAATGTGATCTAAAATAACGCTGTCCAGGCAATATTGGCATGTGTTTTCTGCTAGGTGTTTAGTGGTTGTTCAGTTGTAACCTGATGTGGAGATCTTAGTTACAGATTTTCTTAAAAGCACTGAAGATACTTCTGTAGATTTTCTTCAGGGGGTTGTTGGCTACTAAAGCTCACCAAAGATAAGCTGACAATAAAACCTTTTCTCTTCTTAAAGCAATTAGTGCATGAAAATATTATTGTGTTACAGGTATTGTGTTGAGTAACAGTTGCTAGTTTTGTTCCTGAGTGAAGTAGGAAACGAAGACTCACTGCTATTATTAGTAGAAGCCAGATGATTCTAATATTATGAATATACAAAAAATGTATTTGACAAAAAGTGTAATAGATTTTTGTCTTCTGCTTTTGAAGGCAGTATAACACCTAAGATGATACAAAGTAAATAATGTTTTTTGTTCCTCGGGTTTGACACCTGTGCTAACTATGGAGTAACTCTTCTGGCATTACCATAGTTAGTGAATGCAATAGTGATGGAGCATACTTCTGCTAATACAGTCCTATGCTTGAAATACTATGTTAAAAAATATTATCTTGCTTACTGAATCAGAAGGTATGTACTATTGTAAGTTAGTTGTACATCTACAATGCTGTCAAATATCAAAATGACAACAGAAAGAAATGTGACTTGTTATCCTTTACAGGGATATTCAGAAGCATCTTAGAGTCACAGAATATCTTAAGTTGGAAGGGACCATGCAAAGATCAAGTCCAACTCTTGGCTTCACACAGGACCACCCAAAAATCAGACCACGTATCTCAGAGCGTTGTCCCAATATTTATTGAAATGCAGCAGGCTCCGTGCCATGACCCCTGAGGAGCCTGTTCCAGTGTCCGACCACCTTCTGGGTGCAGAACCTTTCCCTAACCCCCAGCCTGACCCTCCCCTGTCCCAGCTCCATGCCGTGCCCTTGGGTCCTGTCGCTGTCCCCAGAGAGCAGAGCTCAGTGCCTGCCCCTCCGCTCCCCTCGTGAGGGAGCTGCAGGCCACCATGAGGCCTCCCCTCAGCCTGCTCTGCGCTGAACAAACCAAGGGGTCTCAGCCACTCCTCTAGACCCCTCCCATCTCTGTAGCCCTCCTTTGGACACTAATAGTTCTATGTTTTCCTTATACTATGGTGTCCAAAACCACACACAGTGCTCAAAGTGATGCCACACCAGTGCAGAGTTGAGTGTAACAATCACTCCCTTGACCAGCTAGCAGCAGTGCTGTGCTTGATGCACCCCAGGATAAAGTTGGTTCTCCTGGCTGCCAGGGAGCACTGCTGGCTCATGTTTACCTTGCTGTTGACCAAAATCCTCAGATCCCTTTCTATTGGGACTGTTCTTCAGCCTCATGCCCTAGTCTGTACATATACACAGGGTTCCCCTTTTCCAGGTGCAGAATCTGGCACTTGCTCTTGAACTTAATGCTGTTGCTGATTGCCCATCCCTCTAATTTGTAAAGATGTCTTTGCAAGGCATCTTGAATCTCAGCAGCTCCTCCCAATTTAGCATCATCTGCAAAATTGGTCAAAGCACCTTCCAATCCTACATCCCGGTCATTTGTGAAAACATTACAGAACTGATCCTAAAATGGGGCCCTGCAGAACAACACTAGTGACTGGCCATCAGCCTCATGTAACCCCATTTTCTATAACTTACTGAGTTTGACCCCTCAGACAATTGTTCATCCTTCGTGTTGCGTTTTTATGTAGCTGTATGCTGGACATTTTCTCCAGAAGGATACTGTGATAAACAATATTGAAAGTTTCACCAAAACCCAAAGTTACATCAACTGGCTTCCCTTGGTCAGCTAGATGGGTAACCTTTTCTTAAAAGGAAACTAAGTTTGTTAGGACCTTCCCTGTCATGAACTCATTTTGGCTAAGTTCAGTGACTGCATTGTCCTTCAGGTGTTTTTTCAGTAGCTCCCAAAATAATCTTCTCTGTAATTTTAACAGGCACTGAAGTGAGACTGAGATGCCTGTAATTACCAGGGTCGTCTTTCTTGTCCTTGAAAATTGGAACAGTATTTGTCAGCTTCTAGTCAACTGGGACCTCTCCAGATTGCCAAGACCACAGAAGAGGAATTAAGAGGTCTCATGATGACATCAGGCAGCTCTGAGTACCCTGGGCTGAATCCCAAGGGGCCACCCAGACTTGTATGCATCCAGGTGGAACAGCAAATCCCACACAACATTGGGGTTGGCTGGGAATGTATTGTTCTGCAGTCAGTCCTCAAACTCAGGGCACCTGGAGTCTCAGAGCCTATGGCTAGTGTTGAAGACAGAGGAAAAGAAGGCATGAAATGTCTCTGCTTTGTTTATGTTCCTGTTTGTGAGGTGACTGTCTGCATGAAGTGACAGGCCTGTGTTTTCTCCATTCTTTTGCTTTTCTTTTGCTCTTCAGATATTTTTAACAAGACCTTTTTATTATCCACCACGCTACTGTCCATCTTCAACTCTAGTTGAGCTTTGGCCACACAAAATTTCTCCCTACTAAGGCAAACAGCATCCCTGCAGTTCCTCCAACATCACCTGACCTCGCTTCCAGCAGCCATATGCTTTTTCTGCCTAAGTTCTAGAAGATCCCTGCTAAGCCAAACCATCCTTCTGCCGTGCCTGCTTGACTTGTGATGTTTTAGAATTTCCATTGCCTGTCCTCTTAGGAGGTGGTACTTGAAAAATGACCAGCACTGCTGGACACCATTATCTTCAAAAGCAGTTTTGCAGGAGGCCTTACTAACTATTCACTGAGCAGCCTGAAGTCTGCTTTCCAAGTATCCAGTGTTGAAGTTCATGGTTTCTTTTTCTGAACTGTCTTTGAATTCTCTCTGGTTTTGCTTGCTGTGGCTTTTGTTAGTGACTGCTTAAGAACTAAGAAAAGCTGAAGTTGGCTGTAATCTTTGTTGAACAAAGAAGAAAATGTTTTATCTAAATGCATTTTACAAACTGAATACCAAAACCAGATTCAATTGAATACTCATTTCCCTCAAGCTGGATAAATATTTCCTAGGTTGCTTTGGGAAAGGGAGAAGACATCAAATTCTCTTTCATGCTACATGTTCACTATTCTTTATTTAGAACTAATGGATGTTGGCATAACATTGTTAGTATACCTGTTTTGTTTTTCTTCTGTGGAATTTTGTAAAATTTAAAAGAACTGGAGCTGGAGGCTGTCTTCCTATCTGCTAATGATACTATCCATACACATGTACTGTCTGTTATGCTTGAGGCAAGTGCTTCTGCTTAATCTAATAGACATAAGTGTCAAAATACTACCTTTAGTCAATAAGTGATTGGTTGTATTGTTTTGTCATAATAAGCCAACGCTTGAATAGCTATAAAGAGGGAGAAGTGGCTTAGTGTGTCTGCCTTGTCCTGTTTGGCCGTGTCTGCAGTGGCCGTGTAAATTATGCCGTTTGAACTGCAGTGTCTAGACAGAAGTGAGAACCTTGTTGGTAGGTTTCTTTCCATATAGCTCAGATACAAGCTTATAGCTATGCTGAAAAGAAAAGCAGGTGAAGCATTGCTGTATTGACAACAGCAACAGATGATCACATAAATCTGAGCAAAAATAAGCTGCACAAAAATGCAAAGTAAAGCTGAAGGAGAATGAACTTAAATGGTACCTTCTACATGTCTAGAGTAGCTGAGAAGCAATGCAATTTAAGCTGATTCTGTTGATACACGTAGCGTGCAATATTTTTAATCGTTGATACAGTTAGTGCTCAGGTAGAGTACAGTAGTTTTTAGGGTCATGTGAATTATTTCAGATAAAGCTGAATAAGCTGAAATGCTCCCATTTGTGTGCAGTAGTCGATTTTTAAGTAGATCTTAATGCATATTTGAGCATATGAGTGTTGGTATTAAAAGAAAGGGGAGTGTTATACACATTTGATAATAAAACTATTAACTCTTTCAGACTTGGAAGCTTTATGTGTAGTTAGTGTTTGTACTGATGTTGAAAATTCAACACGTAAGTGGAAGTACGTTTTAACTGAACACACCTAATTTTTATACTGATGTTTGTGGATAACAATTGGTATTTTCCTGTGACTCATGTAGAAATTCAGAGGAAAAAAGGCCCTAAAAGAGTGAGGGAGTAGGCTAAATCAAAGAGACAGTAAACAGAACAAATTTAAAAATGACCATGTAAATAGCTTTTACTGTGAAAACTGTTTATCTCTGAGGTCTTGCTTTTGTGCTTTTTTTTCTTAATCATTGTCACGGAAATACTATTTGTTTACTCAGAACGGCTTTTTACGTGCAATGTGAAAGAGCAGTGAGCAGCCTGAAGGTTATATTCTTGGTGAGGGCACAATCTTTGCTTGGCAACTGAGTTTTGAGGCAAGTCAAGAAGCTGAGCAATGAAAGAGTTCCAGTAGCTTGAAGATAAATTTCTCTGTAGCGTAATATTAATAAAAAGAGAGGGAGAGGGAGCACTAATCCAGACAAATGATTTGATTATTCAAGTTAGTTAACTCTTTCATAGAATATATTGTAAAGGAATATATTTCTAAGAAGCCAAGTTGACTTATTTAGAAACATGACTGAGACAGGAACTCCGTGACATTATGGGAAAAAATGGAATTATGTTGTGCTTGACAAGCCTTTTGAAAGGAAATAGAAAAAAAAATAATACTTCAACTGTGATTTTATATAATGCATTGCATCAATATTCAGGATTCTTGAAACAGTCAGGAATTATTTGGGCTGCTTTTGTATTTTCTTTTGTAGCAGCAGAAAGAAAAGCAAAGAAAGGAAATACAGTCAAGTAGGTAATTCTAGCCCTGAAAAGGCTGACTTGAGTCTTGAAACTTCAAACACCTAACATCTATAACCAAACTATCCTGTCAAATGGTAAAGCTCTTCAGTGGTAATACAAGTATTCCTTTCCAAAATAGGAAAAAAGTGAACTTGTTGTAGCTTAGTTAAAAACATAAGGCTATGCAACACCCCTTTATTGAATGATATTTCTGGACCATATGCAAAAAGTAGTCTTAAATAGAGGAAAATATTGATTCATTTATGGCATTTGATATTGAGTATTTCATGGCACTCCTGCACTCTTCTACTTGTTTCTCTAATGATCTTTATAAAGGTAGGAATTTCTCTTTCTTGATGGAAAAGGAAGCGTTACTATAAACTGCTTTAGACTGCAAAGTTGTTTAGGCAAACAGGATTGAATAGAAAGAAGCATAAAATGTGTGCAGATAAACTCATCCATATTGATGAAGGATCTTAAAACGGGAAGGAAACATTAACTTGATAGGGACTAGAATGAGGCATGACTTTTTATTAATGGACCTTGAATGTATGAAGACAATGATATACTCTGTGGGATGGATTCCTATGAATAAGATCTCTTAGACATGGGGAGTAGATAGGACATATTTATAATGGTATTTGTGAATTGGAAAGGATGAGAAAATATAAGATGATGTTGAGATAATTGTTTGAGCCTTTTAAAGGACTGTTTGAGAAGAAGCATATTGAAAGTAAAATGCAGTGCTCTTAGGAAACACTGAAATGCGTAAATTAAAGCATTAGGAAGGAGATACAAGAAGAAAAGCAACACTTGGAAATACCAAGTTTGCAGCGAAAAAAAATGAAACAAGACATTATGAAGATTTATGGCACTGGAATAAGTTGACATTCAAGTTAGGAAGTTTTAACTGGCAGAATAACACTCCTCACTTTTGTTTGTCAGTTTGAAGACTTGGTTGTTCTTTAGGAAACATTGGTTTCCTGAGGTCCTTTACTTGCCTCCAGTTTAAAATGTAAATGTCCAATTAGCGTAGATGTCATCTTAAATGATTACAAGCTGTTACTTTGCTATATGGTTCTGTGCTGGAACCTCATGTTTTCATATTCTTGTTCATGATGTGTTAGAGTAGACTGTTAGAGTAAAACAAGATTTTGACTTGTTCTTTACAGAAGTGGAATGTTCTCATGCTTGACTGTCCTCTGTGTTGTTTAAAGCAAGTCCTTAAATGTAAAACTGGCAACTTTTACCTTAGCTTCCTTTTTAACATAGAGATGGAGTGATTGTTAGTATTGTACTTTGAGGCGGTAGCTCCTGAATTGGAAAACAACATGAAAAAAAAAAAAAAAAAAGCTGAAATTACAGATTTAACCAATACACTTTTTAGACATCGCATTTAGTATTGAGGAAAAATATATATTTCTATTGAACAGGGCTTTAAACTGTTACTTAATCAAACTTTTTTTCACTACTGACAATGAAATGGGAGAATGACTCTCTCACATGCCTGAAGATCTGGAGTAGACAGTAGACAGATAGTTACTGTTCTTCTGTATTCTTCCCACGGTGCTATCAGGAACTAATATATATATAAAAAAAAAGTTCACATTATTACATTATTTTTAGTGAGTTGATTCTTTGGATAGAAACTGACAGAGTAGAATGGATTGGAGATCTTGAGCTTGACTGAGTAAGGTTTAAATTTGGGGATGAAGTTTTGGTGAACTAACTACTTGAAATGCTGATACTGAATCGTGATTTGAGTGGTACAAGTCCCAAGATCCTGCTTAAGTGAGACCCAAGCAAAATGCAGATGCCTGTTTTCTCCTGTTGGATTGGTGTGTTAAATTGCTCAGATAAAATCTGTTCTTGTCTTTTAGCAGCTGCTGAAAGTTTGTTTTCTGAGATTGGAACAAACTTACTTCAAACACTGAGAATATCAGAAGTTATGCAGGGTGCTTTAGTCATGTTTAAAATAGATATTTGGAGCAACACACATGTACATCATGACTGAAGGAAACAGCTGGCCATTCTGAAAGAAATATTGAAGAACAAGTGTTTACCTACCAAGTGAAGAACCATTTTGAAGAATAGAAAAATCTGTTCTCTCCCCTTTGGTTACGACAGAAATCTACCAAAATGAGGCTTTCCTGTGAGGTATTAGAAAAGCTTGCTAATACAAAAGAAGAGAAATATTTTTCCCAGGCAGCATATCATCTTGCTTGTTGTCCAGCATATCTCTGAATAGCATTTACAACCACAGTTCGGGCTGGAAGGGTGATTATACTTAAAGCAAAAGTCTTTATGAACTCTGGAAGTGCCTTCCTGCCATACTTTTCTAGCTTATTTTCAAGAGCACAGTATGTGTGCTGCTGTATATACCAGTAATGCTGATTTTCTTAGAATAAAGCAATATATATTACTTTATCTATTTCTGTCTTAACAATAAACTAATCATAGACAAGTTAGTTGTAGTTAGCTCATTTTTCTTCAAGTGTGTGCAGTGAGGAGGATTTCCATTTGGTATTACTTCATTGAAGTTAGATCATTTCAGCATAGTTGGTTATGGTGTATTTGTGTACTTCAGTATGGGTTCTGGTTGCCATCAATATGTAATGCATACCCTAAATAAGCCACAATATCTTTCTTACAGTATTAGTAGTACTAATAGTCATAGATGTTCCAAAAGCAATAGAGTTGACAAGTTGATAAGATACAGAAACTATCTAAAATCCTTTTTTTTTTATGTATCACTAAGTTTTTTTGTGCAGTCTTGAACTTAATCCACTGTTATTTGATCCGTACTGAATATTCTGATGGACAGGAATAACATCTGTGTTTTAGCTTTTTATGTCCTTGTAATTTTATTGATATGCTTCTGTTCTCTGAGGGCTAGCACGAGCACTTAGATCAGAACAAGGCAGCGTCAGTCACACGCTTGGGAATGTTGGTGTTTGCTATTTATGTTAGTGCTAAATGTATTGATGAATAGAGCTGACACAGAGCCCAGGTATATAGAGTTTCAGTTCTGTTATGAAATGTAGTAGATGCAGATAGTCCTTGTTCTCTATCTGCTATCAGAAAACCTCTGTGTTCATTATTGAGTTTCTTAAAGACATGAAGAAGTAGACTATGGATATGCCGTTAAGGTAGGATAGTGCTGCTTGATCAGTATCTACTGCTTGATTGGAGTCAGCTTTAAGACTTCTTTGTTACTATAATAGCCATAAGTTTAGAAAATTAAGAGATCTGTAAGAACTACATTGATTCTGGTCATGGAACTGTTTTTCGGAATCCAATGAAAGGCAAATAATGGAATAAGTGAATTGACTAGTGTAAGTAGGAGAAGGCATCAAATAACAAGATGCAATCAGATGAATTAATTACGGCTTTTCTTCTGTTACAACATAGCCAATATTCCAAAGGATTGATAGGCTTAATAAAAAGAGCAGTGGACTCCTGTTTGGATTACCCAAGTTTTACTGCTGTATATGGCTGTATTTTTATTAGCAAGCCACACTTAACAATAGGAGCAGACATAGTTAACACGGAGATTGCAAGATGTTCATGCTATATGTATTTTGTGAAATTCTGATGGCTGTTAGTTATTGTCCTGTTCTGTGAATAGAACGTCCCACAGCTCCTAACATGCATCTAGCTGTTGGGCCTTGCAAGGAGTCTAAAGTAATACTTCGGAGACATACTTTAAGGAAGAAGTTTAGGCTCCACAGAAGAAGTTGGCAGCAGAAGATAGATCTAGGCAGCGTGGAAAATTAATAGCAAAACTAGTCAGCAAAACAAACTTAAGTAGACGAGATATAAATATATCTCCTTTAATTAACAATAAAAAAGCACTTTTGCATTGGATATTGCCTTTAGAAATTTATATTTTTTTCAGAAGGAACAGCTTTATTTAATTTTATCAAATCAAAAAATATTTTATTTCATCAAATGGAGAAGCCAACATGTTATCCCCTTCTACTGTTAGTAGTATCCAATTAAATTCCTTCTCAGTTAAATACTTCTGTGCAATATCAAACTGTATTTATCCATATGATGATAGCGATTATTGTGAAGACTTGTACTGTATGTTGGATTTGACTTCATTTTAACTGTGTCTTGTCTAAAGTCAATGTCATAAATTTAAAAAGATTGTTAATCTCACTCAAATATGCTTATATTTAAAGTCAAATTCATGAAAATAACACTGGTATGTTGACAACAGCATTTTTCTTCCCACTAGAGATTAGCTTGTAAGGAGTGCTGTAAAAGGTGGTCGGTTAAGACACTTGAAAATGACGAATACGTTTTTATGATGAGTAATGTATTTGTGTAAAATAAACCTGTTCTGCAGTTTTGACTTGCTTCCACTAACTTTTCTTTCAGAAAGAACATTTTGCTTTGCAAAGCCAGTGTGGAGAAAGAGATACTGGGAGCTTGCAGCACATGGTAAATAAAATGGCTCGAATTCCTAAGCAAAACTGATTTCCTCTAGTTTCTTAAAATAAGTGTGAGGATGTTTTATGGCATGAAGAACAAAATACTTGTCTGTCCAAGGCAATAACTGTTGCATGTGTGGGTTTGCTGTCCATTAAGTTAAATGAGTCAATAGGACTTCAAAATACTGTATTTTCCAAGTAGTTTTGCTGGTGAATTTAATCATATAATCACTAGAACTTTAAAGTTCTTGTTGAATAAAATAACAAAGAACAGAAATTCTAACAGACACTTAGATAGTCTGTTTTGATTTTTAGATTTGAGTTAAATTCTAACTTTGAAACAGAAGTTAGAAGGTCAACTTGGAGTAGTTATTAACATTTGCCATATAATAGTCTTAGTGATAGGAATTTTCAAGTTCATGTTTCTTTATACCTAAGATTATTTTGGAGATCATAGATGTTTCATTTTCATCAAAGGTTTAACAAGAACAGAAATAGTGGGTTCTATACATGAAATATGAAACTGTTTATTTCTTGTATGTGCTTAGAAAGCCATGAATGGAAGGCAACTTACCTGCGAAGCTGAAGAGCTACAGGAAGAACAGAGTCTTCAGCATATATATCCTGTTTATCAGCACACATATTACAAAAATTGGAGCAGCAGACACCCTCAAAGCTTTGGACCTGGGAAAGTTTACATCAATCCAAGGGAGCATTACGTATGATTCCACATGCAGATGATAACTTTAAGATATGAGTTTTTTCGTACTTGTTGACCATACAACCAATATGGTTTGTTGGCTTTGATCTCTAAAAGATTTCTTTTTTCTCGTGGAAAGAAATTGCATAGCAATTTTGTGTAAGTGAACCCTATGGAATTTCTGACTTAACTTGATTCTAGCATTTGGAATGTATTTCTTTTAGCAGTTAACAGTACAACCTCAGCCTGCCAAATGAGGAGCGCGATGTAGCCTTATTAACCTTCATAGCCTTAAGATGTATATACTACAGTTCGTTAGTTTGACCCATGACCGAGTGCGGTTAGGCTGTTGCCCCAGTTATCAGTGCATATTCTCTCCCTAAACAGATGTTATAAAATTGCCTATGTAAAAATGAGTAAAAGGCCAGCAACTGAATTCCAGGTGACCTAAGTAGTAATAGGCTATCAGTCAGGTTTTTTTGCATATTGGAAAGCCTGGGGTAATTACCATTTTGACTGGCCTTAGCAATTGGTTTCTCCACTACCTCTACCTCTCCCAGTCAAATGAGCAACTTGACTACCTCTCAAGTACTGATTTACTGGTTCATAACATGTTGGGTGTCTTCCCACCTTGCAAAAACAGACATAATTTTGTTATAACAGGAATTTTGTGTTCCTTGTTATTTGCACCCGGGCTGTCAGTTGGTGTACTTTCTGGTTATAGTTTCAGAGTAGGTCTACATGAAATTTAGTTACAGGAAGTAGACTGTTAAAGCTCATGACTATTTAGCCATTTTCTCAGTTAAGTGTTTCAGAGTTCGCTCTTGTTTGTCAATAAATATATTTCATGTTCTTTGGTTTCCTCTCAATTTGTGATAAAACTATTGCCATGACAAATTCTTACGTCTTGACAAGAAAAAGAAAGCTTCAGTAGTCTTCAAGTAGCTTTCAGTGCTGTTCTTTCATCTTAAACAGTACTGTGAAATAACTGGTGAATATACTGATGTTACCAGCACGGGGTGTTCCAGATCAAGTCTTAGGAGTGTGAGTAATGGTTGAAAAACATGCTCAGGAGCTTCTTAAAGTAAATTTTCTTTCAGAGTAAAATACTCTTCAAGTAAAAAAAAATATGTTTACCAATGCCAAAATGACCTCATGGGACAATCTTGAGGTTTAAGACAGCAAGAAATAAGATGCTGACTGAAATTGTTTTGGAGAAACTTACACGTATGTACAGAGTAAGGACTTTGTCAGATGACTCTAAGACAAAACGTGAAGTATGGCTATTTCACACTGAACTAACTTGTTACAGATTGAATATAACACCTGTAATATCAGTGTGTTTTTTTCCTGCAGACATGATTTGATTTTTGAGACAGAAGACTCCCCATTGCAGAAGCAATAGAATTGAAACCTTGTACAGTTAAATATGCTGCAGGCAGAATGCTTTTAGGAAAACATGTATTCATCTCAATTGTAGTAAAATTAATGACATCACTACAGTAGGGTTAGGTAAACACTTGCAGTTTGGCACAGGCAATAGCTAGAAGCTGATGGTTTAGATGCCCATTTTTTGGGCACAAATCCAGCATTAACTGGTATCTTGCTAAGCAACTTGCTTTTATGTGTGGATGAAGCTGACAGCTGAAGTTATGACAAAGCAAAATTTTGGGAAGAACTTGTTTCTTGGGAGCTTTCTTTGTCTGTTCTCTTGTGGACTGATGAGCATGTTCACTTAAATTCTGAGCAACTGTTTTCAATTTTGAGGCCTGCTGCTGTATTTGAGACCTGAAGAAGGGCTTGTACACCCCAAAACTGTTTACAATGTAAGCTGGCTTCTGGTAATTAGACCAATATTATTGAGCGAGACTTAATGCAAAAAATATGTTGAAAGTGCTTTACAGGGAGGTTCAAAACTGCTGTTGTAGTAATGCTTACAGTAAATTCATTAGTTTAATACTAAAAAGTTTAATACTGAAAAGCTAGTAACTTCCTATTATGATGACATAAAAAAAAAA